AAAATCTTATTCAATTTTTTTAAACCCCTAGGTTTGTTAATTTAACTTAACACCCCTAAAAAAAGTTTAGAAATTGACAAAAACACCCCCACCTACCCACATTTGCCAGATTCCCGCCACCACCGCCAGAAGATGGTCGGAATCTGGTATAATGACGCACTACCAGCTGGATATGACCGGTAGTGCATCGATATAGCCTATTCAAGCCAGATCCACTGTGGATGTAGCTGGAAAAGGTCAGATCTATGACCAAAGATCTGACCGTAGCTAGTCGTCAACGATAGCCAAGATATGGCGGTCGTTGATGGAAGATATGGCTATTGTTGACCATCAACAACGGCCATATCTTTGGCCGTCGTTGACAACCAAAAACCGCTAGATCTGGCTATCAATGGCCATATCTAGCCATAGATCTGGTTTTTTTCGGCCAAATCTACAGTGAATTTGGCTAGAAAATGTCATCTCGATGTACGACTGTCTAGATCTAGTCGATCGTGCGTCAATACGGTGACTTCGGCTACCCTCCAGCGGTGGTGGCCAACTACCGGTATTTAATGGGTGGATAAATGTGTTTTTATAATTTTCAATGTTTTTATTACAGGGGTGTTTAGTGAATTAAAAAATATAGGGGATGTTTTTGGTAATTTTTAAATTTTACCTCGTTATTCCCACCCAACTCTTACTTTTTTAAAAATACTATCCAAAATACTAAAACAAACGAACACTTAGTGTCTTTATTTATGAAAAATTATGATTAAAAATTTAAAACAGGTTCAAGTTTTCTCCAAAAAAGCTTATTACCTTATTGAAATAAATGACGTGGAAAAACGAGAGCACATAAGATGCTCTCGTGATATCAAATATTTCATATTTCTTCATCAAGAAGGTTCTTATTCCTTTCTTCGTTAATGTTTTTCTATCTATTTATGTTTAGTGAATTAATGATTTCCATTGCCTATATTAATTATGTTGCCAAAGAATATTTTATCTCTTAATTACTCACAAAAATGGTCACTTTAGGTAATTTAGCATGTAAATTTAAGCAAGAAATTTAGGCTTCGTTTGGCTCATATTTGGGAATACTCAATAAAGTTAAACAGTAAAATTGCAAAAACTCACAATATTATTTAATATTATTCAACTTTTTTTAAACCCCTTAAATTTGTTAATTTAATTAAATACCCCTAAATTTTTTTTAGAAATTACAAAAAAACCCCAGCAACCTATATTTACCATATTCCGGCCACCACCGTCAGAAAATGGCTGGAATCTGGTATAATGGCGCACTACCGGCTGAATCTGGCTGGTAGTACACCGATCTAGCCTTTTCCGACCAGATCCACGATTGATCTGACCGGAAAAGGCCAGATCCACGATGGATCTGGCCGAAAAAGGCCAGATCGAAGGCCAAAGATCTGGCCGTCGTTGACCATCAACGACGGTTGTATCTTTGGCTGTCATTGACGAGGAAATACGGCCAGATCTGATCGTCAATGGCCAGATCTAGCCGTAGATCTGGCCTTTGCCGGCTAGATCCACCGTGGATCTGACCGAAAAAGGCCATATCGGGGCACGACCGACAAGATCCAGCTGGTCATGTGCCGATACGACGACTCCGACCACCCTTCAGCAGTGGTGGCCGGCTGTCCATATTTAATGGGTGGGTTGAGGGTGTTTTTGTTAACTTTTAATGTTTTATTATAGAGGTGTTTAGTAAATAAACAAACATAAGGGGTGTTTAGTAAATAAACAAATATAGAGGGTATTTTTATTCATTTTCAAATCCTACATCGTAATATCCGTCCAATTCAACTTTTTTTAACTTTTTTCCAAAAACTTTTCTAAAAGTGTAAAAAAGTGAACCAAACGGAGCGTTATAGATTGTTGTGGTTTAATATACAGCTCTTACCAAGACAAAAGCTTCGAGAGAAAGGTAAAATAATATGAACATTATCTAACAAAAATGTGATTAATTGTAATCATCATATCCAATCATCTTTTTTAATTGATTTTACGGTTTGAGGTTACAGTTATACGAAGAATAGTTGCGTCTACTACTAACCTTGGCCCATAGTTTTGAACTTTATGATGTATATATATTAGGGTAACATTTTTTATGTTAGAGTTTATTTCAAATACATGATATCAATTAATATGAAACTCGAGAATATTACTCTAAACCTCTAACTCTAAGATATATGTCTAATAATAAATCTCCTCTCGTTGCAGAAAAAACTCAAGACCCCCTCTCATTTGTTATATGTTAATACTTCATTGTCAATTTAAAAATTTGTGGGTAACACGGTAACCTTACATTAATAATTATGATTTATAATTTATTTAAAATCACATCCCATCCTAAAATGATTAATTTTAGGTGTTAAAATAAATGGTACGAGAGTAATTTGATAATATTTAAAAACTCATAACATCATAAATTTTAAGAGTAATTTGATAATATTTAAAAACTCATAACATCATAAATTTTAAGGGTTTTCTTGAGCCCCTTAAGCTTTAATCAAATATAAAGTCTCCCTGAGATTTTAGAAACAATCAAAATTGCCGTACCGTTTGTATCGTCAGAGTTTATAACATGATAAGTGAATCAATGTTTACTTAATTGCCCCTATGTAGTTTATTTTAACACCAAAACATTAATAGTAGGGGAGTTTATGTTGTTTCTTTATCTATAGGGGGATTTTTGTCATTTGATTAAACCCAAAAGGAATTATTGTTATTAACCTTATACTTTTAACGGCTCACTAACGTTCATATCCAGGAAGGGGGTTTTTGTTATTACAAAATCCTTAGGGGATCTATAATCTATACAAAAATGAATTTAGAAAGTTGCATTAATGAGGTTAAAGTGTCAACTTTTTAGCAAATGGGGTGGCCAAAAGTAAAAAAAGTAAATATTTACTTGGTAAAAAATAATTATGTGTAAATTTCGAAAAGAAAAAATGTTACGTTTATAACCCAATATCACAACTTTCTCTTACAATCATGGCAACAGATTGGTACTGTCACGTCAGCTCCCACTACACCTTAGGCACCAATGTCACTACTAGAAACAAATGGTCGTTCTTTCATAATAAACGATTGTTCTTTATGAAGAAAGAGTCATTCATTTGATTGTTCCTTAATATGAACACTATTAGGATTGATTGTTCCTTATTTATGAACTATCATCTCTTTGGTTGTTCCTTCATAAGGAACAGTCATTCCTTCCGTGAGGAACAGCTGTTCCCTATGAAGGAACGATCGTTGTTCTAATCAAAGTCATTTTGACATAAGCACCAACTCAACTGCCACATAAGAATTGTAAGAGAAATTTGTGAGAAAATATTGTTGACGTAACATTACTCTTTTAAAAATTTTGTGCACCTGGGTGATCAGCCTAGTCCAATACATAGTTCGCCTCCCACCATAGAAATGTATTATAAATAGGTAAAATTAAGTGATATTTTCCATATCTCAATGAGTTTTGGATCTTGAATTCTACTCAATTCTATATTATGAATTTAGTACTTGTTAATAAATAAGATGTGTTATGTATAGAGGTTAAATCATAAATACACTTTTTTTAGTGATTGAGATAAATTTTTGTNGTCCAATACATAGTTCGCCTCCCACCATAGAAATGTATTATAAATAGGTAAAATTAAGTGATATTTTTCATATCTCAATGAGTTTTGGATCTTGAATTCTACTCAATTCTATATTATGAATTTAGTACTTGTTAATAAATAAGATGTGTTATGTATAGAGGTTAAATCATAAATACACTTTTTTTAGTGATTGAGATAAATTTTTGTATGAAAAACTCTTGTCAATGAAAGATGTATGTTGCATAAAAAGTGTATCATAAATATATCTCTTGTCAATGAAAGATGTATGTTGCATAATAAGTGTATCATAAATATATAAAGTCACATGAAACTAATTTTGGATTTCAAGGAGTGTTAGATTTTGAATTTTATTAGATAAATTGAATCATGAATTCACCATTTGTCAATTAAAGAAATACGTTACATAGAAAAATGTGTCATAAACATGTAAAACCTAGTGGATGTTTTTAGATTTAAATTTAAACAAACCTTTTTTCATAAGTTACCTTATTTATTTCGCCCTATTCATTTTGTAAATTACCTCGCGTAGTCCACCTTAACTCATAAATTCAATCTCATTCATCTTTCTAAATCACAAAACTTGCAATGAATTCCAAATGTGTTATAACATTTTTATTTATGAAAAATTATGGTTCAAAATTCAAAATAGGTTTAAGTTTTCTCCAAAAAAAAACTTGTTACCTTGTAGAAATGGATAGTGTAGAAAAAACGAGAGCACATCATATGCTCTCTTGATATGATGAATATCAAAAATATTTTATATTTTATATTTCTTTGTCAAGAAGGTTCATATTTCTTTATTATTATTATTATTATTATTATTATTATGTCAATTTATGTTAAGTGAGTTTATTGATTTAGGTAATTTAACATGTAAAATTAAGCAAGCAATTGATACATTGTTGTGGTTTAATTTACAGCTCTTGCCAGGAGTGATGTTGAAGCAAAGAAGGGTAAAAATTATATGAACATTCTTATAAAAAAATGTGATTAATTGTAATTGTCCTGTTTAATCAATTTTTTTTTTTTTTTTTAATTAATTTTGCAGGTTGCGGCTACAATTATACGAAGAACAGTTGCGTCCATGACAGCCCATAGCCCATAGTTCTAAGCTTTGCGAATTTGGCTAAAATCCGGATGGGGGCATTCTATTCTTCAAAAATTGGCCAGCTTCTGAAAGGTGCGGAGTTTCTTGAAGATGAAGAAATAAAAGTTATTTGAGTTTATTGAAGATGTAGATGATAATTTCTTTTTATATTTTATCAATAAAATCAGTTGAGTCACTTTCAGTAGCCATTTTCTTTTCATGTTGAAAGTTCTGAAGAGCAAAATAACAAAGAAAATAGTAAGATAAAAAGACAAATTCTACATTCTATAGCTGCTGTTTTACACTTTCCTCTTTCCCCTGAAGCAAACTGGAACCTACATGAAATCAATAATCAATAAGAATTAATAGACCCTGACCCATTATTCCACTTATAGATGAACTCTAACAACAGCAGAATCAAAATTAATAGAGTTCTTACAAGTAGATCCATAAAATTTTGTTAAACTCCTTTTTAACATATACAAGAGTGGCTCCTCTTTTGCAAAACGCATCTTGAGTTGCTGTGCTGTTATGAAATGATCTTGGACAGTCTATGTATAAAAAGATTGAAAATTTCATCACGATCTAAGATGCTTATTCGCACATATTTTGGACTAAAGCCGAAATGCTTCCCACTTCTTGTCAAGATCTTCTTGTCCCTAAGGAAGCCTTCACAGTCGTTTATGTCTTCTTCACATTTTAACCATGCAAAAGCTGCAAATGACAATTATATAAGTGATTGGTACTACATCAGTCTGCATCAAATAACAGTAATTGATGAGAATGGCACATCAAATAATTGAATGAGTTGTTACCGGGCTGAGGCTCAAAGGCACGGCCAAGGAACGTACAGAATTGAGGGGGGAAGTCAGGCACACTGAATAGACCACTCTCTTTCACTGCCACTCTCAGTTGCTTCCACCTCATGTCCATTTGTTGGTGGTTGAACGCAAAGAAGCATTCAATTTCACTGCTGGATGGTTCGCAGCTGTCAGAAACAACTTTCAAAACCTTGGCTGCTCGGAGCTGTGAATCCTTAGACACACCAATGGTGTTGAGTTCTATGAATTTTGTCATTTTCTTTGCAACCTCGGTGTCTTTGACAAGAGCCCAACTGAAAGATATTATATGTGAAAATTTAATAAATGCAACCACATATAACTCTTTGTTAGTAAAGGCAAACAAATACCGTAGCTGTAAGGAATGCTCCTAATAACCATTATGCAGTAAAACAAGTTGTAGAGTTTAAAAAAAATTCTATGCTGACATTTTCTTTTTACAGAGATTCAAATGTCCAAGGTCTTAAACCAAAGGTCTGTTACAGTCATTTAAATGGTTACATAATAAAATCTGATCTCCCTCAGAGCAACAATCAACAAATTTATATCATATGAGGTAGTGGAATTTTACTTCTAGTAATAATATACCATGATTGACTTACCCAATTCGCATCCCGGCATGACCAGTGCTTTTTGAAACAGTAAACAGCATAAGATCATGGTCTGCAGGAAATGATATTGAAGTATATTGTGGCCAATAATATGCAAGGTCATGAACCAATATTCCCCCGCTGCGATTCACCACAGATTGCCTTACAAATCCATCAGGGTTATTTGGGGAAGTGACAAGTTCAATGTATGGACCATCTTTGTCAAACCTTTGAGCGTCACCAGCCCATTTGAACAGCCCAGACTTGAGGCAATCAGTAATTGAAGGATAGGACTGCAAGTGATTAGTAAATCAATGTCAAACCAACATAGAGCAGACCAGAACTTAAAGGGTTGTAAATACAAGGAGACAAAACTTTCATGCTAGTAATAATTTTTGCAGCAATCTTTTTGAAAACTCCAAACAAACAACAAAGTCACATAGCCACATTTTTAATGCACATGAATATCTTATTATAAGATCCACCATGTTGGGTGAATCATTGATCAAACAAATAAATATCGAAATAACAAAGCAGAATATTCCAATTTCCTTCCCTTAAACTTTGATTAAAAATTCCTAGAGCATCAAATTGAAGCAAAAAAAAAAAAAAAGTAAAGCTAGCAGACAGAACCAAACACTCACAGAATAGTAAGGAGCTGCAGAAACAACACTGATGGGTTCCGATGCATCCTGCGCAGACAGAGCATAAAGGGCAGCCTGGAATAGTTGCGTTGAACCCGTCCCAACAACAATGTGACGATTCTCTGTTATTGCATTCCCGACCACTTTGTGCAATCTAACAACTTCTTTAGCAAATTCAGGTTCAAGAAACCAACAAAGGTTACTCACATCAGAGAAATAACTCAGTGATTGCCACCCAGGAATCACAATTGTGGTCTTGTCACCCACTTGCTGCCAATATTTTTCGTACATAGTTGGATCCCCGCTGCATTACAATATTATATTCAATCATTAAATGTTATTTCACATCGAGAATTAACCCAATTGCAAATCAAACTGTAAAAGCCTAATGAACTGTTAATGCATTGGGATTCTTAAATCGAATGGAGGGTAGTTATGAGAAGGCAGTAATGGCGGGTCCAGTGTCTCTATCTATAAACAGAGGAATGATTAGATATGTATGCATGGCATGGAATGGCTTACATCAGATCAAATAATACGTATGCACAAATAAGCAAATCCCAGAGATGGGTTTGCATTTGGAATGCATCAAAACAAACAGGACCCGCAAAAATTCAGATCCAGGCAATACCAGTTTCCATGATATCAAAAACACTTGAAGAAGCTATAAATTTTTAGCAATATAGGCGGCCAAAGTTCACAAATTTTTTAGTCTTTAGATCTTCCCAAAGGCCACAAAAGGATGTCTACATGCAGTGCGCGCAAACCCACAAAAACCAAATGGCCCCCATTTACTAAAATGCATCTTTTTATTCTTTAATTTTTTTTGTTCTGACGCTGTCACACACCTACCCATTGTGTCTTGTGCTCAGCACTAACATGCACCTTGGGGATCTCTCCAAGTTGCTATAAACTGAAGGTTTTGTGGGACTGAAGTCCACAAAGTAAGCTACATAATGATGGCGTTTGGTCAAAATAGCAATGAGCACTTCCTATGGTGCATGTTATTTTAGAATCTTAAGTAATTAAGCATCACCTCACCAGCTCACCTCACCCCCTCAACTCGGGAACAGCGAGAAGACAAAAACAGTGATCAAGTTCCAAAAAATAAATAAAAGCTCATTCATCTCTAACATGCACCATAGAAACTCTAAACTTAAGCACTCTCCTGTCTTAGTCTATCCTGGCAAACACCTCATTAACGCTACAAGCCTATGTACTGGGGAATTGAAAACTCCTAAACATAAAATACCATTTTTCCCCTTTGCCTCTATGTGAAATTATATTGAAATCCAGTCCTTTTGCTTGTGAAATTACCAACTTACCCATATGAAAGAAAAGGTTAACAATAATATGACAGAAAGAAATGTCAAATGTCAACTGGAGGCCGGTGACGACTGACGATATGCCTGTAAGCCTCCAAGGACAGTGTTTGATATTTTCTACACACAGGAAGAAAACAAAAAACAAGAAAACAAAAACAGTGTTTTTACCAACACTTACTGGTCAAGATTGATAATTCTTTCCCCGCCATCTTCAGCTTCAGCTTCAGCTTCAATGCCGGTACTAGTAGTAGTATCCAACGAAGGTAATGAAATGGAGAGATGCTTCTTCTTGCTAACGTGCGCCTCTTCTTGAGACCCACAACCAGCGATTACAGAGCTTCTCTGTTGTTGCAGTGACAGCACACGATAAAGACTCCCTTTTTCACTCTCATACATCGCCCTCAAGATCAGACTCACATTCAAGGCTAAGGATAACACCAAAAAGTGTTTCAATGTAAACACAGGCAAATTCTTGGCCATCTCTCTCTCTCAAAAACTCAGAACTCTAGAATGCAAGAACAGAGTTCAAACTTCTTTAAGTGAGTGTATGGCACTTGAGAGCCAAAAAGATGGATTAATGGAAAAACCCAGAAGATGGGTACTAGATTTTGAAGTGTTAAATGGTTGATGAGAACTGAGAAGTAAATGAACACAAAATTCTATGTCGTGTAGTGAGTCTTCAAAGAACAAAAAAAAAAAACAAACAACCTTGACAAAATACGATAAGAACTAAGAAGTTTCAAATGATCCGGGAAGTTTTTGCAAGACTTGTGAAACCCAATAAATACAGACTGATTGCTACTCTGTCAGATATATTGGGTTCTAGCTAGAGTCTAATAAGCTTTGTGCATGGAAAACGGGTCTATGGTTCATAACTTCATAAATTTTCTTTAAAAATGATATTTTTAAATTGACTTGAACGGATATTAGAAATAGCAAAATAAGGATTCAAAACATATGCACCAAGAAAACATAAACAACTACCATTCCTTAACGAGCTTTGACAGATCAAGAATCAAATACACGTATGAAACCATTTCTTAATTCTCACCCTTCCTAGAAAAACGATAATGAAAAATGAGGTGGGAGTTTAAGAAGCAGCCTTGAAAACACTTCCGACAAGATATTTAATCTCAAGAATCAAGAAATCCCACGGAGATTTTTGCAGTTTCTCGATGCCAGATCTTAAAAAAAGGAAAAAGAAGAAAAGAAGAATACAAACACTAAAGCCTGAACTTAAACTAAGTGTAGATTCACTGTTCCATAATAATAAGTGTATAAATAGTAATATAAATAGAGATGATGGAAGTACTTGTATAGAAGGGCGAGAAAAAGGAGTTGGATGGCCAGGTATGCTTAGCGAAAAGCTGCTTTCATGTACTGTGTTTGCAATTTGCGTTCTCGGTAACCAGTAAGCTTTTTCTTTTCTTTTTTCTTTTTGTTGTTTATTATGTATTTATTTGCTTTTTTTTCCTTATACTGTACTGTTCAGTTTTAAACAAATAGAGTTTCTGATTGTGCCTGGAACTAAAACAAGATTGAGACAGAGATTAGTGAGAGACGGAGTGTTTTATTTGTGTTCTGTAACTTATTTGATATTTCCAGTCGAGTTTTTTTCTTTTTTCCAATTTCATTATTAATCAATAACTCTCTCTATGCTCTTTACAGGACAGTCTTTCCAGTTAACTTAAGATTAGTTGTCAAATTCATTTGATTTTTATCCTCTTTTTTAGTGACTACTTTTTTTTATGTCAAGTCTCCCATATCTTAAAAATATCATATTGTTTTTTTGTAAGTATTTGATTAAATAAATAGTTTGAACAGACTGGAAATGCTCCCCGTCCAATTAAGAACTGCAATGAAAGCCACCGTCCCATTAATCATCGTTGCATTAATCTTGGACTCTATTATATACAATCATTTCATTTTTGGACCTGTTGACGATTAAATCGAAGAGTTCCACGTCAAGTCAAAGCAATAACTTGATACCTCAATTGATAATTACTGAGTGGAAAGTGGAAACTTAGTTCACTGAATTGTTGAATTCTCAAATACTCAGAGTAGAATAGCTTAGTGGTTTGACCTTGTTGTATTATTAAATGAACTCCAACTCTGGAAAGCATAAGATATTCCTTCACAAAGACAAAGTAACTCAAAAAACAAAACAAAAAGTCATTTCATTTCATCAGTTTATGATTCCAATAGCGAAGATGGTGAGTTTTACTTTTAGTTTTTATCAAAGGTCAATGCACTAATTTTATCTAGGATTTGCTCAGCCGCTGTTATTGGAGACTAGAGAATGTTATGCTCAGGTAAGGTCAATATATTCTTCTCATAATACTTTTGTTTTAAAATCGTTGAAGACCCACCACTGCTTCATACTTTGCGTAACACTCCATTTACTGATATAAAATTTGAGTATTGAGTTTTGCTAGTGGAAGTCCAATTACAATTACAAAAATGTCGACCCAGCCCCATCTCTGAATTGTATTTTTCTGAAAAACAATCTGAATGAAATAAAGATGAAAGGGATTACACAACTATATTCCTAACATACAAATAGCCTGGACCTCAGCTGATTTGGGTCCACCCAGATCAGAACTCTGGAAAAGTAATATAAAGAAGAAGATTTTGAGAGCTCAGTCAGAGTAATCTTCTTCAGATTATGTAAAACAAGCTCTAGTTGATATGGTTTTTGATGGCTGAATTTTAAAGCATTTAAGAAAAAGTGGTCCTCTTCTTGTATATAGGATTGCAAATCCCGAAGCTGCTGCTGCATGCAATTAAGATGATGGTCCTTAAATGTTCCAAGTTGCAAACATGGCTATCAAATTCTTTTTTTTTTTTTTTTTTTTTTTTTTTTTAATTATCGAAGGTGTCCAGACCAATTTACGCATGCCTCAAGTCCTCAACTAATTCTTCGAGATCCTGAAAAGATTGACCGGTATCAACTCCAGTGACTACTCTTATTATCAACCGTGGGGACTCAAACTCGGAAGACCTTGTTAGATCTTCCTCTTACTCTTTTATCAGACCATGTTAAATCCTTCTCTTATTCTTTTACCATCAAAGGGACTCAAACTAAAAAAACTATGCTAGATCCTTCTTTACTTTTTTACCATCGACTAAATGGTGGTTATAGCTATCAAAATTTCTATAGAGCTAACTGCACATTTTTTATTTTGTCGTCTAGTAATAAAAATAAGGTCCCCAATTGGGTTTCTGACACGTGGGGTGATTATTATGGGCACGAGATTGGTGAAGTAATCTCTATAGTCTATTCTCTAACAAAGGTGGATAATAGCACAAGTTCTTTTATATAAGAGCAAAAGTCTTAACATATTGTTTGTTTTAATGAAAGGCTCATGCACACTCGTGATGGAGTGGAGCCCTAGAATTTGTATGGACCAACCTATCATCACGCTTTGTCCCAGCAAATGAATTTATAGCAGGTCAACATACACCATAAATTGACCTAAAAAAGATTATGTAAAATTACAGCAAATTTATTTTGATTGTGCACATTAATACTAGATTTACACAATATCTCATTCATCACATTATTCTATCATCCACGTCACAATCGAAAAACAGATAAATTATTTACGTATTTCAACAAAAAACAAATTATTTCTGAAAAGGAGACTAAAACCGCTTTCAATATCCCCATATCATAGCAGTATAATAAAAACCCACGTCGGGCCTGAAAAACCAGGCCCAGGTATATTATTTGAAACTTTAATAATAATTAAGCCCTGGGAAACTACTTTAGCCACCTCCTATAGTCCTATTCCTACAATAATAATTATGAAAGAAAAATGTTATCCTTAAAGACTCATACAAAAAAGGTAATTATGAAAAAAAATGCTATTTTCACAAAGACTCATACAAATAAGGTTATAAAGTGACATCATCCAGAAGAAAAAAACAAAGAAAAAATAAAAAAAGAGAAAGAAAGAGAAAGAGAAATAATAAAAATCTAGGGTGGGGATTGTCTTTGCATGCCCCCTTTGTATGTATCTTTGTAAAACTAGCATTGCTCGTTATGAAAACCGTTTACAAACAACCCTCTGCAACACTACACATCTAGCCCCATATATAAACCAAAATTACAAAAAAAAAAAAAAAAAAAAAATCCTTCTCAGTTCAACAAGCCTAGGTCAAACAAAGGGGATTTTCCAAATAGAGCTGGTCAAGGACCGGTCCCAAGCAGACCCGAGCCTAGGCTCGTTTGGGACTAGTCCCATTTAGGACCAAAATGGGACCAATCGCTCATGGGCTTGGGATCGGTCCCAGGCCCACGAGCAATTGTAGGACCTAAACCGATCCTATGGGTCTGCAAGATTTCTGTAGAGGGGTTTATGTAATTTTTAAGGGTAGATTAGTAATTTTCAGGGGCAACAGCCAACGGTATTAAATGCAAATTTTTTAAATTTTGTAAAAAAAAATTTAACCCCTACAATTTCTTTCTATTTCAAAATTTACAAGGGGTTTTATGTAATTATCTAGAGGCTAAAATAAATAAACCAAAAGGGTTTGAGCTCGGGCTTGGGACCGAGCCCTCCTCCTTAGGTCTGGTCCGGTTTTGGGACTAAGCCTGCTAGGACCAATCCTCTCAAGGACCAGGCCTGCTGGGATCGGTTTTTGGACCCAGTCCCAAATGCGCAGCTCTATTTCCAAAGCATAAGCTTGCATTTTTAAATGCAACCCTAGCCTAACCCAGGTACTTACATTCCTACCATAGGACCCATGATGAATTGTCAAAGAACTGTTCAAGGCTTATCTATAATATAGCTCAGTCTATATTTAGTACAGGTGTCAAGAACGACTCAACAACGATGCGTGCTAAATCCCTCTGCTATGGGGGACCCCATAACAATCTAAAAATGTGACCCAAGACTTAAAATCATTAACTGCAATATTCTTCAGTATTTCGCGAAGTAAATATCATTGTTTTAAAAATCGGACCGAAGAACAACCCACTCTGATGGCCGGATCACAATTCAACTGGTCCAACCGATTGGACCGTCAGTTGGACTGGTGATATCATTACACATCATAATGACGTCAACACATTTTTAAAAAAATAATTTTTTTTTTTTAGATTTCTATTTTTCAATAAGACAATAACAACTTAATTACTGTTCAACATGATTCAAAGTTCCAATTCAACAACAATCCTAACATAATTTAAATATTTAAAAACAATTCAAAATCCAAATCCAAATCCAAACATGATGCTGTATTTACATATCAAATGACAAAATACATAATAATTAATAACAAAACATTTGATGCAAGTGTTTTTTCTTTGATCCGTCTCCATGTTGATTGAGCTTCACACACTAGCATCAAAATTCATCACCATCATCACCATCATCATCATCATAACCATCACCACCATCTACGCAAATTTCAGTAAAAAATAGAAATCATAAGTTAAAACTTGTAATTTAAATAGATACTAAGTTAATATAAATTAATAGATGAAACTCAGAGGAAGCATTGTGTTGATTGTTGCCAAAATTTCATTCAGTTTCTTATATATAAACCAGAAAGCTTATCCAATTTATTTCTAGAGAGCAGCCAAAGATCATGAAGACAGTTTTACCATCATTGCTATTCGTCTGTAACACCAATGGCCATGCACCAGCAACAGACGTTCCAAATAACGAAATTGAGCTATTGAAAAATCACTTGACATCACAGCCTGCACTTGAAGAAACAACCAAATCAGAAACCAGATTATTAAATCATTTAGGTTGGGCTTGGAAAGATATTAATAAGCATCCCTGGAGATAAAAACTATGGTTAAAGATTTCAAATAGAACGAAATTTTAGAGGAAGATGTAGACAGCAATCAATTCTCAAAGCAGCGATATAAAAAGTGAACATCCTTTGTGTACAGGGAGCAAAAGCTAAAGGTGGGTTGTGGGGTTGGGGTTGGGGTTGGGGTTGGGGGTTCATTATATGAGAGAGAGAAGGAAAACAAGATGTGTCGATCTATCCAAAACATCCATTCAAAATCACTTAATGTGATCTGAGAGAGAAAAATCTACGCAGCGGTTAAATCCTTAAAGAAGCCACAGAAAATTGATATTTTAAACAGTTCATCTACAGAGTGCAAATGCAGAGGGGAAAGTTCAAATTCAGAGGTATAGGGTCAATCATTCCACGAAAACCAATCCCTTTTAAGAACATTAAAAGTTTAAACAGCTAAGGGCTTAGATGGTCATGCAAAATCTCAATCAAGCAGGAAATGTTGTCAACTCCTGCTTAAAGATTGCAACGAAATCTGAAATTCAATCCTCACATAAAAGAGGGAACATCTTGAATTGCATAGTAAGTTTATTCAATCATTCTGATAAAACAAATTAATTCAAAATCAAACCATTTTCAGAACTGATCAAGTAGAGATGCAAGGTTCAGTCAGATTGCAAAAAGGGAAGAATATTGGTGGTGAGCTAAACTATGGTATGAACCAACTCCTGCATCACCATAGAGGTCATTACCAGATGCTGGTCTCCTAATACTAGGTCCTGGGAGGGGTGAGCTTGGTAAGTTCATAACCCAATCTCTGCATGAGTGAGTTCCAAGATTGGTGATCTGGTGTTTTAAACTTAAGAGTTCATTCTATTTACTTTAATAATTCGTAAAAATTTTATGTTATCTAACTCATTTCCACCTAGAATGTATAAAACATGGATTATGTCCTTCACACGTATATAAAATGATTTGATACTTAGAAATATAAATCATAAGTTAAATCTCATTCTCTTTTTCTCTAAATGAATTTTCAGTTCAAGTGTTACAAGTCAAATTGATTCAACAAACTAAAATATCGCAATAGCACAAATAGTATTATCATCTTAATTTGTGTTTTCCATCAGATGCATGTATGCTTCTGTCAAGCAAAATTATGTATTCACAGACGCACACAAAACCTTTCAAACTTGTTGTCACTCAAATTTTATAAAATATTATAGCAACAAAAAATCAGGACATCCAGCAACAGCCAAGGGTCAAAAACAGCAACTTATGAACAAAGATTCACTCAAGGTAAACAATAGTATTGTTACAATACAACCACAACAGCTCTATAGATTGAAAAATGTAAAGGATGTTAACTTAAATGTAAAGGGAGCGAGGAATGGCGTTACCTGGATCGACGAATGGAGCTGTCGCCGTCGATTTCCAGCGAGGGAGGAAGAAGTTGTCGATTTCCAGCGAGGGAGGAAGATGTTGTCAATTTCCGGTGAGGGAGGAAGACGTCGTCAATTTCCGGCGAGGGAGGAAGACGTCGTCGTCGATTTCAGAGAGTTCAGATGCGATTTGGGAGGGATTTCAGAGAGAATAGAAGACACGGCCGAAACCGTGAGAATTTTCGCAGAGATCAGAGTGTTTGCTGAGAAATTTTAGTGAGAAAAACTGAGAAAGACTGAAAGAGAAGAAGATGAGAAACGGCTGCGTGACAGAGAAGAAGATGAGAAAGGGCTACGTGAAAGAGAAGAAGATTGTCGCGTATTAGGGATTTAAATTGTGGACTGGTTTTTCCGCCGGTCCAAGTTCACTCATATTATCCGATTTTCAACCGGTTTAAAGCGGCTCTATGTATATTAGCGGGTTTGAGAGTGACTCGAACTGGACACGTGATCAGTTCACAGTCCAACTGGTTGGACCGGCCGGTCCAGTTCGGTTTTTAAAACAATGGTAAATATCTGGCTACAACTGGACATGGGCTTTCATGTCATATTTACAATAATCCTCAAAAGCAAACCCGGTTTACACAGAAGATATATTATTCTTAACTTTTGGAGATGATTTGATTTTCACCTGTAACTATCATTGCACTTTCTCCCATTACTTTCCNAAGGCTTATCTATAATACAGCTCAGTCTATATTTAGTAAAGATGTCAAGAACAAAGACTCAACAACGATGCGTGCTAAATCCCTCTGCTATGGGGCAATATTCTTCAGTATTTCGCCAAGTAAATATCTGGCTACAACTGGACATGGCCTTTCATGTCATATTTACAATAATCCTCAAAAGGAAACACAGTTTACACAGAAGATATATTATTCTTTTAACTTTTGGAGATGATTTGATTTCCACCTGTAACTATAATTGCACTTTCTCCCATTACTTTCCTTTCGTCAGATGCCTTATTGCCGATTCTTAATAGAGCAATACATCACTTTTTAATGAGGCCAAAAGAAAAATATATACATATTTGCACTCAGACATCAAAACGAATCTATGACTTGTTAATGGCGAGATAGGTGAGAAAACATCTGTGATAGACTCATATACATCAGTTAACATGATAACTAATCAAAATACAAACATGATTTACTTGGACGGCATCAGATAAGCCTAAGTATAATAAAATTGTATTATTTTTTCGCTTAAAAGGGAGAATTAAGAAAAATTGTGAACCCAAGCATTTTTATTTCAACAACATACCAAACCACTCAAAGGTTGAAGCATACTAAAAGCAAGACAGTGTATAGAAACATCAAACACTCTATTCTCTCATAATCAAATTTAGAAATATTGATGCCAATTACAATATCTATTTTATGTAACAACCCAGTGAAATAGCATGAAGGATAACCTTAACTGTAGAATGTAGATATAGACATGTAATTCCAAATTCTATACAGAAAATATAAGCACCAAGGTAACACACAATACACCAGCTAAACGACCACTCTTTAAGCTGAACTTACCTGCTATTCATCAGCTTGTCCAGCACCACATTGAGGTCTACTGACTGCCTGTTTTCCGTCAGGTTCCTCACTGTAGCTCTCACCAAGTCTCTCCGGAATCCCATCGCAACAACCTTCTCGACAACATCATCAACTTGAACACTGTTTGTGTTCCCACTGGAAGCAGATCCACTATCCAAGATAGAGGCAGTTGGAAGAGCGTGTGGTAATATCTTGGCAGTTGGCAACTGTGAGGAACTGCTTCCACTACCTGGGAATGAAGGTGATGATGCACGTTGAAAGGGTTTCATATTTGAACTGCTGGAGCCAAAACAAGGTTCATTATATGGAAAAAGATTGATGGGATTAGACTGCTCTGGTGGCTTTGAATACCCAGAAGGTAACTCCAAATAATGCCTGCTTGTGGAGTGATCAGGGATCTGCTGGGTAGAACCAACATAAAACTGCTCAGTTGGGGGAAACCCACCAGGTGGCCGAGAGGATTTTTGGATGCTTTGAGATGACAGGTAAGGAACTTCTTCAGGTTGATGGCTCAATGGAAGATGGGCTTGATAATAAACTGGATTGACAGGTGAGTGCAGTTGAGGTGGTTGGGCTGACTGTGAGGGCGTTGGAAGTTGAGGCAGTTGGACAGACTGTGAGATTGTTGAAAATTGAGCCGGTTGGGTGGACTGTGAGATTGTTGGAAGTTGAGGTGCAGGTTGATAAGGTTGATGCAGTGCTGGAGATGGTAGCTGTGACTGCTGAGTTGAAGTTACAAAGTACTGCTGATGAGTGGTTGTTGGAGGTGTTGACTGATTAGGTTGGTACAATCCTGGAGCTGGTGGCTGTGACTGCTGACTTGAAGTTACAAGGTACTGCTGATGTGCGGATGCTGGAGGTGTTGACTGACTAGGTTGATACAATGTTGAAGGTGGTGGTTGTGACTGCTGCATAAAAGGCATATGGTAATTCTGATGTGTGGTTTCTTGAGTCAGCACAGTTGAGGGGTTGTACGATTGAGGTTGTGAAATGGAGGGGACGACATTCTGGGGTATTTGGTTAAGAAGCTGTGGAGCTGTTGCTACAGGAGATTGTTGAGGACTTTGATTATGTAGGTTCTGAGAAATATTAGAAGGGAGAGAAGCATGCTGTTGTGAACAAGCAACTTGATTCGGAAGCAACTGGTGGGATTGTTGAGGGACAAATGACGATGCTTCTTGATTTGAAACGGTTTGAGGGACAAATGACGATGCTTCTTGAATAGAAACGGTTTGAGCAGTAGTGCCCCGCTTTTTCGACTGCGTGTCACTCTTGGGCAACTGAAGCTTTGCAAGCTGCACTTGAGCCTCTGCTATCTCTTGTTTATCTCTCAAATCCTTGATACAACCTTGAACCTGCAAGAAATCATATACAAATTGCACCCTTCATGTCATCGGTGCACTAGATACACAAGCTTTGTGCGACCAATTACCAGCTAACACTAATGCAAAAGTGGCCACAAATATTGAACCTACGTTGTTATATGACACTTATCACCATTCAAAAAGGAAAAACTTTGAGGGAGTTCCGGCTTTTATTGAACAAACAACTTTTCCTTCAGTTTCCACTTAACATCCTAAGAAATGTCAATCATTACAAATTCACATTACACAACAACAGACCAAATCTATCAACCAAACTTGCAATGTAAAACTGTATTGACAAACAGAACTACATAATATATATTCTGCCTATCAACATTACATATATCTCATGAATCAAGTAAACTCTAATTAGACTAAAGAGAACGATGGTCTAACCACCAAATCAACTTCCCTTGACGTCCTCAAGTATGCAAGAATACATGACAGGTGAGAACAATGAGAAGACATGTTTCTTGGTGTTTTTAAGTGCAGACAGAGGGAAAGAGAGAGAGAGTCCCTCCAAGAATTTAATTTCAATTACATCAGATTGGGACTTGGCTCTGGTGGTAAAGGGTAAGGATTCTTAGTCCAAATACTATTTAGAAAAAACAAAAGGAGACCACTGTTATTCTACAAGAATATAATGTTTTGACTATTGAGGTTACACATATGATATGACTTTTGGCAATGCAGCCAGGATTTGGGGGCACAAACCTTTTCTAACTTTTTATTAATTGAAATTCAAAGAATTTCACATAAAAGGATTAAGATGAAACTAGACTATTTCAAGGCAAGATTTGAATATGATATTGCCATGGTCCAAACTTGTTAAATATAATGGTGTCTTAGAAAATCAGCATTCACACTCTTAATGTATAATTTCGTTATCTGACACAAAATTAATTAAGTTCACATTGAGAGCTCATGTCCATAAATCTATCAATTTCCACCACCAAGTCTTTTGTTCAACAAGTCAGAGACACTCCAACAGTTTATAAATTATGTGTTTGAGTAAAAGGACAATTTTTTCATACTTACAGCTCCAGCATGTCTAATTGGAAACAAATAGCTTCTAGTAAGATTATTACCAAAAAACAACACCTAAATTTCCCAATATCTTGCAAGGTTGATTTAAATAACCAAAAATACAAACCAAAGCACACACATCACAACAAATGAAAGGTAGTGGAAGTATGAAAATACCTCTCTCAGAATATTTTCTGCCTCCCTAAGCTTTCCATCAGTCCTACCATGACTATATGCGATTGATTCCTTCAAATAATCAACAAAATTCTCCACTTGATGCATTCTACTCTCTAACTGAGTTGCTCGTGCACTGAGGCTTTCCACCGCATGTAGCAAATTATGAAAATGTTCCTTGATCTTTTGATCAATCTCAGATATCAAATCCACTTGGTCAGCAAAACTTCTATTCTGTATATCGCCATTCAAGCACCATTTAAGAGACACATATAAGCAACAATGTAAAACGTAAACCAGTAACCAAAAATTATTCAAAAACAAATGCACTCTCATAATTTAATCATAGCCAACATTCATAGATGTACATAATCAATTAAGTAGGAGTGACTTTGGCTTTGATCCTGAGGACAAAATTTGCTTGAGCTCAAAATTCATCAGCACACTTGAGACCAAACGGTTAGATAAGAATGCAAATAAAAATAAATCATTACAGACACAAATTATACTGCCTAAAACTATAAGTCCAAATGTCAATGCATTCTGTCTACTCGAAACTAACCAACTCACAATTCAATTTAAACAAACTAAAAATTTTCTTTTCGATCCAGCAATCAAATTCGAGTTTCATATCAAACAAACATTAATAGCTGGAAAAACAAAGGTTAAGCAATTAAAGATACAAAACTAACAATTGGGCAAGTACAATCAAAGAGTTAAAATTCAATAACAAATAGTAGTTTAAGAGAGAGATGATACATTGATGCCGACTCTGGTAGGTTTGCGTTTGGGCTGAACTGCCTCGAAGAGAGAATCATCAGATTCATAGTCTGCGTCTTCGTCTACGAAACCATGTCCGGAAAGTTCAGCTACTAGCTTATCCTTGTACGTCCACGAATTCGGGTTTCTCATGGAATTTCAATTTCTTAGCTGCCAACTATCTACTGCTTTGTTGTGAACAAAGGATCATCAATTATACTATCGGATCTTGGAATGTAAAGCCGGGTTGAATTACGGTTGTGGTACAACATTATCAAGCATAAGGTACCAACTCTTACAGCACGTTTTCAACTCTGGTGGTAGTATTATTATTATTGTTGCTTTCTTAGAAGAGACCAATCTAGAAAATATAGAAAAGAAAGTGATTAAATTCTGTAATTTTTTAATTAATTGTAAATTAAACTAAATAGTAGTTCAAAAATATATATCTATAACTATAAGCACTTGATTGAAATGTAATATGTTGTGAGTTGAGTGGTGGCTAAGAAATGAATAATCCTCTTTACCAAAACATTAAATTTTGTATTAAAATTACAGTTTGGTGGATGGTGAGATGAAATTTAAAAATTAATTGCTCTTCTTATGAAAAGTAATATATTATCTCAAATAAAATTTTCAAACAATTTTTGAGCATTCTTAAAATAAACTGTTTCCAGTTTTGAACTCATCAAATACATCTCTCGTATTTATTATATTCGGGTAAGCATAAGATTCGTTTAAGAAAAAGCAATTCTGCAGTTTAGTCAGTAGAAGGTTGCCCTCAACTAATATTATTGATGTTAAAGAGCAAATGAAACTTCATTACTTACATTGCTACCTAAAAACATCAAGGACAAAATTTGATTCATATCAACACAATAAGTACAAAATTTTAATGAAAAAAGCTTCCCATGATTCAAAACAAGAATTCAATCACGGATAATTTGGAAGAGTTAGGCCATGGAACTTGGACCATTACCATTTGCTCATCATAACTGAACTCCACACTCACCGCATCAATTTTGCACATCAATGGTTTCTCTGAAGCGAACACCTTCATTTCTCCACAACCCTTCACTCCAATTCTTACCGCATTCTCATCCTCATCGAAAACCAGAGACTGAATGGCACCACCAGAGTTTAGCATGGTCACCAGTCCAATTAGGGCAAACTGGATTGATCTTTTTGGAAGGACTTTCACGGGAGAAACAGTAAGCAGCTCATAATTAAATGGCTCAAGGGAATCTCCAATTTATCCGAAATTTTCAGAAGCTTCAGCTTGTTTTCTTGAAACATGTAAACAGCAAATACGTTCACTCCATTCACACAAGACATCGGATCTTTTCCATTGTTCCATTCAATATCATTAGGACTAGCCAAGAAGGATACTGTGTTTGAAAACCTGGCGAAACCAACATTTTTTCTTGTTACAGAACACCATCCTCCTCCTTGACAATTGAACACTCCTAAAACTCCTATATACTGCTGTAAACGTAAATGAAAAAGATATTGTTATGCCTGGGAAAATAGGGCTGACATAGCGCCTAGTTAAGTGCGAAAGGTCAGACCTCGGGAAGAGCTTACTGGCATTCTGGCACAGCTGCGTTGTGTGATCATGGTAACACCCACAGCTTGCTTCCGTTAGAATAATGGGTGCACGTTAGGCCAGCCAGGAGTTGTGATGATCCCGCGTGTCCAATCCCTGCAGCAAATCACGTGAATTATTCTAAAAAAAGGATTTGCACAGATCATCCCACCAACTTACAGATTCAGTGATCATTATCTCAAGGCATCCCACTATAAAATGGGAGCTTCTCTCTCATTAAGGGGATTCGCACATTTTACTCTTCACAAAAACTCTCTCTCTCTCTAGAAAAGACAGTCTTTGATACCTTGTATCATCAGTGTAAAGTCAGTCGTCTAAAGTGACCTGATCATTATCATTAATAAAAACATCAGTGGACGTAGGATTTGCTTCCTTAGCATCCGAACCACTTTAAAACTCCTTTCTCACTGCATTTAGTGTCATTTTTCCTTTCAATTCACATGTGTCTTTTGGGTCAACCCAACATTTCACACGTGCGTTTCATTGGTGTCAAAATCACGCATCAACAGTTTGGCGCTAGAGGAAGGGCTGGTTTAGTATTCATCCTTCATCAGGAGAATCTCCAACCTACCGGTCCTACAGCAACAAATGGCCCGCCAACCAGAGCCTGAGCAAACCAACCAGAGCGTTGAGGGGCTCCCCCAAATTCAGGGGGACACTTCTTCCAAAAAACCTTCGACCCCACAAAATGCTGCAGGAGATATCCCGTCAAGTTCACAGCTTTACCCTATTATTAGAAGCTACCTGGAGCGGTTTGACAATACTCTCTAAATAGTCAACCGAATACTGGACCGTTTGGACCAAGGCGCGCCATCCAAGTCAGCTGCGGTGGTACAACCGCCAAAAACGCCTGCAGATCGCGTGAAAGCGCGACAAAGGGAAATAGCCTGTGCCGCGAGCACTACAGCGCGTAGACGAAAAGGTAAACAAGTGGCAAAAAGCAAGCCCATGGGCTCCAAAGGGCCAGTAAATTTCAATCGCGTCCCGAGCAGAACACCAGTCTCGTTGAGACTCGGTGAAAGGACACAGCCCGAGCTGTCCCATGCCACATTGCAAGAGCACACCCATAAAAGTGCTGGTCGGGCGATTCCTATCACCACCAACAAAACGATCCTGATCGTCACCATGCGAGAGGGTCCCACACTTCGCGGGGCGGTTCTTACCACCGTGAAGGTCGTGAAAACACCCCGCACCTTTCATCGCCATCATACGCCTCTAGCCAGCGTGTGTCGAGAGTGGTCGGAACCGACGACCGAGTCGAAGAGGAACCCAACCTCTGCACTTTCCTCAACCATAAACACGAGGGTCAAACTCACATGGGTGAAAGCAATCCCCAAGCGGCTCCATTGCCGCAAATTGAGGAGCTGCAACGAGCTCTAGACAGATTGCGAGCTCAGCAAAACAAGCAGGGGCAGGTCGCATCTGCGTCCCCCTTCTCTACCGAAGTGTTAGCCGCTCCTCTCCCACCAGGATTCAGGATGCCCGACATGCAGGCGTTTGATGGGAACTCCGATCCACAGGATCATTTGTATGAATTTAACGACCTGATGGAGCTTCATCAGGTCTCAGATCTAGCAAAGTGTCGTTGTTTGGCAGTGACTTTGACCTCCCATGCCAAACGGTGGTTCAGGTCGTTCCCAGAGGGATCGATCAGTTCGTGGCCTCTGATGAGCACGACGTTCCTAAGGCATTTTCAAGCAAATCGGAAGTTCTCGATGCCTTTAAACTACCTTAGCAATATAAGGCAAGAAAGGGATGAATCCCTCCAGTCCTACACTGACCGTTTCCATAGAGAACTCAACAAGGTGGCTCATATTCTTGAAGAGTCTGTTCGGACTCTCATCATAGCCGGAGTCCGTCCACAGACCGACCTGTGGAAAGAATTACAGGCTGAGGACGATGTTTCCCTCACTGGATTCTATAATCTCACAGAGAAATACCTCCGAATAGAAAATTCAATGGCGGCACTCTACCGTCGCGACCACGACACTTCAGGTAGTGCACTTGGTCGGCAAGATAGTAGAAGAGCTGATTGTAGAGGGGACGCAGACGATCAACGAAGAGGGAAGAAACCTCGTTACGAGCCCAAAAAGTCATATGCCCCCGTCCCTCATCGCGATCACGACAGAAACCAATATACTCCACTGAACGCTTCTCTATCGGCTATTCTCGATAAATCTGAGGAGGCCAGCCTGCTCGGAGAGCCCGAGCCCATGAAAACTCCAGCGATAGTCAGAAATAATAAAAAATATTGTTGCTATCATCGGGACAATAGGCACCATACCGATGAATGTCGAGCTCTCAAGCAGGCGATCGAAAACCTTATCAAGTAGGGACATTTCAAGTAGTATATTGATGACTCTGCTCCCTCGCAAGAGAAAAATCAGGGGGAGTCAAGTAAGAAGCGTCGCGATAAAAAAGGAGTATGCACCCTCAATTTAATTTTCGGGGGACCGCACTTCGCGGGAAACTCGCGAGGTGCTCAAGAAAGGTATGCTCGCGAGGCACATCACGAGCCCATCAGAGTGATGAGCGTAGCTCAGCGACCACAGAAGGTTCGCCGGGAGGAGGAAATTTCCTTCTCCAAAAAAGATGCGACCCGACTGCATCATCCTCATGAAGATGCCCTTGTGATAACACCCCTCATAGGGCGCCATAATGTCCAGAGAATGTTAGTGGATAACGGAAGTGCTGTGAACATCCTGTTCGCTTCAACTTTCAAAAGAATGAATTTGGACGAGGCAGACCTGAAACCTGCCTCGTTCCCTCTATATGGCTTCACAGGGGACCACCTGCTCCCCAAGGGCACGATCTCACTCCCAGTCACGTTAGGTGACTTCGACGAAGTGACCAGAGTAATTGAGTTCTTGGTAGTGGATTGCCCATCCGCCTTTAATGGAATTCTAGGACGACCTCTGCTGAGACACTTCAAGGCGGTCACCTCAGTATACCATTTGAAAATGAAGTTCCCCACCCCGACAGGGATTGGGAAAGTTAGCGGGTCTCAGCGCGTAGCTCAAGACTGCTATGTGAAAGTAGCTTAGATGGCATGCAAAGGCAAAGGCACCTCGCGCGGCGATCACAACCAGACAATGGCGATCAGTCAGATAGAGCCATAGCCTAGCCCAGTCGAGGATAATATAGATCCATTCAGGACTGCCCTTCCAATGGGCTAGTTGAGGACCTAACTGAACTACTAGTCGACCAGACCGAACTAAGTAGGGTGCTAAGGATCGGTAAAAATCTCAATCCCCAGCTCACTACCGACCTGACCAGCTTCCTCAGGGAAAACATCGATGTGTTCGCATGGTCGCACGCAGATATGGTCGGGATCAGCCTGAATGTTATTTGCCATGCATCAAACATCAATAGTAAAGCCAAGCCAGTTCGCCAAAAGAGGAGAGCGATAGACCCGGAGCGATATGCTGCCTTGAAGCTCGAGGTGGATAACCTCCTCCGAAATGAGTCCATCCGAGAAGCACTCTATCCGACCTGGGTTGCAAACCCAATTCTAGTAAAGAAGTCTAACGACAAATGGCAGACCTGCGTCGACTTCACCGACATCAACAAGGCATGTCCGAAAGATAGTTTTCCCTTGCCAAGAATTGACCAGCTCGTGGACGTCACCTCGGGGCACGAGCTACTAAGTTTTATAGATACGTACTCGGGATACAATCAAATTCTGATGTACGGGTCAGACGAA